GTTGTTTCACTGAGCCAAAGTACAACGGATTTTTCAACAAAGTTTTTGTTTGATTTTTTCATGTTAAATAAACCGATTGTAAGAAATGTGATTCAAGTTGAACATTTGAATACACATTTGTAAGTCTGGCTGAAACTAAACGTGTACAGATGTTTGCTGTTGTTTGTTGGCTTTCAGCAAGTTCGGGTTCGAATACCGCCGGAGGCGACGTGGAATTTTTTTTTTTGTTTTTGTTATTTACGAAAAAGCAGCTGTGAAGGCAGAACACGATCAAACGACGAACAAAATTTGCTTCAGTTCAACATTTGGTGGTAAATTTGCATAACGGCTGTAGCTGAGTGTGCAGAGGCACTTGCGGTTAGTTGCTAACTTTCAGAAGGGGCGGATTAAAATGCCGTCAAAGCCAATGGGTTAAAATCATAATAAAAATTTATGTTTTGTATCTCCGAATTATGAAAAGGCATTTGTGAAGTGCAGAACATAAGCTTATTCAAACGAAAAATCGGCGACCAAAAATTTGTTAAATGTAAACAAAAGTGTGGTTAATATTGCAAAATTATTGTTGAAAATGCCAACCATGGCATTATTAATATAAACCAAAAATCACATTGATTTATTTTCAAGTTTGAATTGGTTGATATTAACCAGATTTTGGTTGATTTTTTTTCTCAGTGTTTGTATAACACAAATACTCTAATACTTTTGTACTTAGTATTTAGTAAATATATTTTTACCCATCACCTGCATTACAAGAAACTGTTATTACCAGTACAAACTCTGACAGATCTCAATTACTGTATACTATGCCAAAATCTATGTAATTATACCATATGCATGCAAGTTGAGGCCAAATGTCTCCCCACAATGTCCCAAAGTTCAACAAACAGCAACTGCCTGCTCGAACTTGTCTGCATACAACACCGTTTTCCCTTATACACACGCACATATGTACATATAGTAGAACAACAACTCAATATCCCTTTGTATAAATCTCATTTCGTGAATTGTATTTATTCAATTCCCTTAAAATCTTTTGTATTCACATTTCAAGTAAAGTTTTATTTCATTTTACTTTTCATTGTAAACCCAAATTGAATTGCACAACTCTTTTATTTTACACTCAAAAGTATTTCAATTAATTTCACATTCCAGCACACCACCAACCGCCATCAAATACCTACCCAATAACCCAATCACTCACTCATTCAATCATGCAGCCACTCACACAGCCAAACAGCCAAACAGCCAGCTAGGGGCAACCAGCCATCTTTCCCTCCTACCACACTTTCACAAACTCAAATCAATCGCTCATTCTTGTATGGGTCTAGCTCCGTTGATACTCGCATTGAACAAACAACTTTTGGGGTGTTTCATCAGTTTTTTCTTCTTATTTTCCCTTTTTGCTATTCGAGCTTTCACAACTTTTACACACTTCACTTTGGTAGTACTGCTTCCCAGGCACTTCAACTACTCCCGCTGTCATTCCTTTTTCCCCTTCACCCCTCCATTTGCTTTGCTGATCACTTCAGCACCGTACGCTGTCGGTGCGTTGTCTCTGTCTGCCTGTCTGTCTGTCTGTCTGTGAGGAAAACACTTCAGGTTAAACACTCCACAGAGTAACTGTGTATAGCAGACGTTCTCCCAAATAGCGGCATGTTATATTTCATATGCAAATTATTTTTGAAGTTCTCCGAATTCACGTACACACATACACACGTAACACATGTGTGTGTGCACTTACTGGCACGCATGCATACACTTGCAAGTTCACCGTACAAGTACTAGTTGGCGGGGTATCTTAAATCGAGACGGGATGGCGAGGCGTGGGCGGTGAAAAGGGGGTGAAAGACAGCCGTGTGAAAAATGAGTGATGACTCTTAAGAGTGATGAATGAAAGAAACTGTGAAAGCTGAGCGGAGAAGAGAAGGGTAGACGAAGGCAAAAGGGTTAATGGAAATTGATTTCGCTGATATAAAAATATTGCTGTGGTGTGGGTTACAAAGCAAAGTAATACGCGTCGAGTCGTTGTTTGCGTTGGGATGGCAAAAATGATGGATTACAATTGACAGTTTGCCCCAAGTTATGCTAAAGTGTTAGCTTAAGTATTTTGTATGAAAACAAATCGCTTCATTGATAAGGTACAAATGTGCGTGTAACACATGCACACACATACACACATACACACAAGAGCTTGGCGGAGCGAAGTCCATGTACATACATACAGTTTTTAAAGATTTTGTAATGCGAATATTAAATTATTTCAATTAACTAAGGGTGCCAGCTCCTATCGAAATTCCATCGTTATTCTAGTTTTTTAAGACCGCTGAACTTAGCACGTCGTTTAACTTATCGGAATATCTGCGACTTTGGAACTAAAACGTGGCTAACATTTTTATTTCTTTGAAGGTAGTTGGAGGACTTTGGCAGGACTTGGAATTGACCCGGTACATACCAGTTTGTCGATAAATTTCAACAAGATTTCAGGCAAGGTGACTGCCTTTCATGTGATTTCTTTAACCTGCCATAGCCTTTAATTTAATTGTTTGCCCCAAAATAAGGAGAAAAAGTTCCGCAAATTAAATTTTTAATTCTCTGTTTTATTTCATTCAAGGGGATGACTTTTGCAAGATTAACGAGGCAATTGGCCTATATTTGGGTAGGCAATAGATAGAATTGGCGATAAAGTTACTTGCGTTATTTCAAGTATTGTAAACCCTAACTCGCAGTGAGCGGTGACTAAATGGCCCTTCCAAATCCATTTGACATAATTTCGGAAAAGTTCATTGGACTATTTTTTAACGGCTGCTTAGAGTCATTTCAGAGACGCAGTAATTCTTATAACTTACAGCTTTTACAATTTATGTGCCCTGTAAATAAAAATTTTCTTCCACAAGGGCATATAAATTGTAAAGGAAAACGCCACTAAGTGCGGTAATACCCTTATTCTAGCGTCAAGTTACGGTGGAGTGCGACTTCAAAGTAAGTATGTTTTTTTTTTGAGCGAGCTTTCGTTGTGCACTTCACAGATACTTTTTCATATTTAAAAAACAAAAAAACAATCCCTGCACGCTCAGCTACAGCCAGACATGTAAATGTGCTTTGAAATAATCAGTTTGAATTGTGTACAAGCGGCAAGTCGACTGTACGACTCTGCATTTAATTTCAACTAGATTAAAATGCATTTGGATTAAACAACTTCAAAGTCAGAGTGTTTCTTTTGAATACGCTTGCGTTCTGCGCCTGGGTCGTTCTTAAAAAACATGACCAATTGGTGTCCCCAGACTTTACTATTTTATATTTTGTTTCTTCAAAAAGAAAATAGAAAAATATCTGCATTTTTATAAATTATTATCGATTCTACGTAACTATATTATAAAAAAAAAATAATTAATTATCTGAAAATAACTTAAAAAATATTTTCAATGTCAAAGGTTTAGCAAAAACCTGTGTCCCGAGCCAATTTATAAAAATTTAATAGTTATTTTCAGTTGAAATAAAATTGAAAAAAAATAATATTTACAATTTTTGTTATTCAGTTTGTGTATATTAATACCATATATAGAAAAGAATGATGAAAAATAATTTTTTTGTATAATTTTTATGAAGAAAATTTGTGTCCCCAGGTTTTGGTCCCCTCTGTTACGTCCACTCATTTTATTGAAAAATGTTTGTTAAACGTTATGACGCGTATATTTCTCTTATGCTTCTCCATCATAACTTAGCTAAAATCAACAAAATGTGTTTTGAACTGTTCAGTCTTGTTTAGTGCGTTGTTGAGTAAGGAACCCAATTGTATGCCGGGTACGTACCCTTATTCAGTGTCAACTCTGTTACTGTTGAAAAACGGTGAGTAAAGTGATTTTTTATTTATTTTATAATTTTTTTATAAATATTTTATGTACATTAATTAAGTGGACAAATAAATTCTCCAAAATTCGAATAAAAAGCTAAAATATGGTATTTTTGAGTTAATTTGTCCCCTCTGTTACCGGTCCACTCTGTGACTTATTAACTCCAAAAACTCCAAAAATTAAAAAAAATACTGCTGGTTATGGATTCCTATTGTTGATACCATCCGTAACCACATGAGGCCAATTATAAACATATTTGGCCAACTTAATTTTTAAAAATTACAAAATTCAGAATGGTCATGTTTTTTAAGAACGACCCACCTCACAGATGCTTTTTCATACGACCAAGACACAAATTGTTTCTTTGAGTAAAAAAAGTGTCAAAATTCGAAACATTTACTCATTGCATTTGTTTTAAAGTAGCCATTTAAAAAAAATCACCCTAAATGTTAAGCCAGACCTGCTAACTTATGTATGTACATATGTACGTAAGCATATTCATACATATATATGTACGCATTTTTATAAACACATTTATTTACGGATATCTACGAGCCACAGTTTGCTTTTCCGTTTGTCATGTTTTGAATGTCTCTTTAACTGCATTTCTATGTGCACTTATGTAAGCGTTTGTTATTGATGGAATCGCTAGACGATGCCCGCGTGTTGCAGCGAAAAGCTGCCCCTACTGCAATGACAACGCTAGCAACATGTACCACCCACAGCTGGAGTCAGTTGCCAGCACGCTGGCTGGTAAGTAGATAAGTCTCTACTAGTAACGTTGTTTGTGTTTGAGTTTCTGTTGTTGTTTGTGTTTGTGTTATTGCGACTGAAATTGACAATCGTAAAAATTGTCAATGTGTGCTATTTACAGTTTGTTTATTTTGTGCATTTCCCTCATTTCACTTCACTATGTTGCTGATTGCCGATGGTATGTTTTTTTATATTTGGGAATTAATTTTTTATTGAAAAACAAAATTGTTTGCGCAAATAAAAAAGTCAGTAAATGTTGTCAATAAGGACACTTTTGATGTTTGTATTTTGAGTATTACAAACATGAATGTGCATATAGTGGTGGTTACAATTTAAGTGGCTTAATATTTAGAAAAGTATAATTTAAGAGGTTTGTTTATTTATATGGTTATAGTAATGGTAATGGTATTGGTCCTGGTATTGATATCGGTATTAGTATTGATATTGGTATTGGTATTAGTGTTGGTATTGGTGTTGGTGAGGTATTGGTATTTGTATTGGTATTGTATTGGTACTGGTATTGGTATTGGTATTGGTGTAGGTATTGGTATTGTTATTGGCATTGGCATTGGTAGTGGTATTGGTAATGGTGGTAATGGTATTGCTATTGGTTTTGGTGTTGGTATTGGTAATGGTATTGGTATTGCTATTGGTATTGGTATTGGTATTGGTGTTGGTATTAGTATTGGTATTGGTATTGCTATTGCTATTGCTATTGCTATTGGTATTGGTATTGATATTGGTATTTCTATTGGTGTTGGTGATTGTAACGCTTTTGGGAATGATAAAGGCAATGGTAAAAGTGATAGTAATGGTAATTGTAATAGCAATAGCAATAGTAATGGGATTGATAGTTGTAATGGTAGTGGCAACGGTAATGGTAGTCGTAATGGTAATGGTAATGGTTATAGTAATATTTGTGGTAATGGTAATCTTTATATTAATGGCAATGGTAATGGTATATTATCGAATAGTAAACAAAGCTAGTAACATTTAAACTTCAAATGATAACTAAATTTGGTATTTATTCTATTCAAACTATTTATAAACCTACACATTATTTTTTCTTTTAATATCTAACTTAAACTTTTAAATTTTACTTTTAAATTTAAAGTAAGTAAGAATTCTTTAACTTTTAATATCCTTATGTACACACCTACATTCCTATACAACTTATCAACATATGTACATTAGGGTGGGTCACTAGCCATACAAAATTTTACTTTTTTACCATCGGAAATATAAAACCTCTTATATTCTAAGACTTCGGCCAAAATATTTCGGAAAAATTTCAAGATTTAAGTGAGCTGAACCAATTTAAAAATATCTAAAAAATAGAGTTTTCTATAAATACAAATAGTTTTTAAAAAAATGATAAAGGACTTTAAATTTTATCCACAGAATCAATATCATGTGATTTTTGGAGATATTTTCAAAAAGCTCCAGCCTACTTAAATCTTAATAGTTTCCGGAAATATTTTGGCGGAACTCTTAAAATATGAAAAATAATTATATGTACATGCATGCAGTGGCAAAACTGCAACTTATTTTAGGAACTCACCCTAATGTTTGTACATTAGAGCGGATATATATATCTTTTTGACTATGCGCGTATAGCATAGAAGGGTTCTACGTTGAAATCCTAAGCAAATTTGCCGAAGAAACCATGGATCTAAATCCACTTGGAGTTTACCAAATAAAGGAAATAGGTTTCAAAAAAATATGAAAATGTTCAATGTTGCGCCCTCTGGTGGAATTTTTAAGGAGAAGATAAATGCAAGAATGGGTACCTCATAACAAAACCCCCTTATAGCATAAAAAATTTAAGCACTTCTAAGAAATTATTTTCGCAATTTGGCAAACTTCAAATTGATTTTGGACCCATGGTTTCTTCGGTAAATATGCTATACGCTCATAGTCGAACAAAAAATGACCCGCTCTAATATACATACATACACACATACACATGTATTCCCATGGAACAACCGAACCATAAACTCTCATAATCTCTTGCTGTAGAGCATAATCGTGTATTGTTTGTACTACCGTAATCTGCTCGCTAAAGTGCTTTTATGCTCTCTACCATTATGTTTTCATTACTTATCCTACCATCTTCACTTTAAAGTCCTGTCCACTTCACTTTCACTGGTGCCGCTGCTGCTGCTGTTGTCACAACGCATTTTACTCGGACTACAACGCTTGACTCGTTTTTGTCACGAGAATATAAACATTCATACACTCCAGCGAGTTTTTTTTCTCCCCCGCATCTTCTACCTACCTATGAACGCGAACGTTGTTTGAAATAGAATAGACAAACGACAATGTATGTTTGTATGTAAGCAATATAGAAAGCATAGCGGCTATGAAACTTAGAGACCACTTAAGGCACCAAGGACAACGCTAACAAGCACTCCAGCGGGACAGTCGCGAGCTCTACAAAGTGAATGTAGGAACATAGAATGAATTTCTTATGTTTTAAAATTTGTGTGTCACTTTGGTTTAATTTTTTTTTGCCAGAAGAGCGGGAAATAGTCAAAAAAAAAAAGAAAAAAAAAAAGAGTGAAGGGCGAGTGGGATTATGTAATTCCCCATCGTGAAACCGCTGAATGAATAAATTTTAAGCAGGAGCGATAAAATCGGAAAATTTCGGTTTTCTTTGCACAAAATATTATTTAGATAAATCTGTAAAACTACAAGGTTTTAGCAATGGCGGACATGAGGTAACAATGGTAAATAAAGTTGTATGTGAGATGATGAGTAAGGAGATGATGAAATTGAGCTTTTACCTCCCGCGGTTAATGCCAGTTTTATTTAATTTTTAACGATAATAGTTATTGATTGATTGCTTAGCGATTAGCTAACACTTCTCCATTACATACTACATACACACGGACTAATTTTAATATTTTAAGAAGCTGTAGGGTCAAGAGGTCACATGCGAAATTAATAGGGGCTTTCTTTGTTGTTCGAGAGCTTTTTAATTGATTTCCTGGTTATAAGCCAAAAAGGCTCTAATAATATCGACCGATGATGTGGCTTGCCTCATTACAGGCCCCTCTCTCAAAAAGGACACTAAGGTTCACGCAGAGTGTTTTCTAGGGGCGTTGCTATGCAAAAAAGTTTAAATTTTTTGTTGTTTTGTATGTATTTTGTAGCATAGCACTGCTTCTAGTAAATACTTTGCTGTCAACCTACATAATTATACCATGCGACAAAAACCAAAAAATTTCTAAACGTTCAAAATAATCAATATACATACATACTCGAAAAACAAGGGGCCAAATATAGTGAAACTACGTTTTAATTTTTTTCTGAGACGTCAGGATTTTTTAAAAACTTAGCAATTTGAACAATTTGATTGTTAAAAAAGTATGTATGAAAAAAATGAATGCAATGTAGAATAACAATTTGAGTACCAAATGAAAATTCAGCAGAATTAAAAAAAAAATAATAACAATTTCCAATAAGTAAATTCCATTTGAGATAATTTTAGTATACTAAACAAATATAGAGGATGTGGTCGCGTATATATGAGTCCTTAACTTATAATTTTGAAAAATAAATCTTGGAAATTTTCAAGGATATTCAAAGATAAAATTTAGAAAGGACATTTTCAATACCTATTCATCCATGCGTACCAAAAAATTTAATGTTATTTAAAATCTACAGAGTTTTTTCAATACGGACTACACCGTGCAACAGTAAATTTTACACACAAAACAGGAACATAACTTAGTGTGTTTTTGAAGGGCTACTTGATGTCGCTCTACACTTAAAATCTATGTACATACATATGTAAACATGGAAATGTCCTCATTCTTATCAAGCTGGCTCAGCAGTCCCCCCCCCCCCCCCCCCCCNCCCCCCCCCAATATAATTACGTGCTCGAATGAGTGCAACGCATGATGTAGTCACGTACCTATCTCGAATTTCATTTGTCTTTTTCTGCCACAAATCCTCGACTCCCAAAGCAGTCAATGTCCAAAACTGACGTATTGTTTTGACAAGTGCAACAATAAATAATACTCGTATCATCTTTATACATAATATGAGTATGTGTGTAACCATGTTGTATATAAATGATTGATGTTAATACGTGACTATAAGGATCACATTACCCAGATTTTTTTAGTAGATAAGTATGTAAGTACTGTATAAAACATACTACTACATGCTCGTATTTGTGATTAAATATAGTAAAGAAATCTGAAAGCTGAAACAATTACAAGCAATAATGGTGTCAAATGCAGCAGGACTATTATTGCGCGTTGAATACCACGAGCCGAATAATCGAATAAGTGAAGTCGTCTCAGAGTACTATGCAAGAAGAACCTAAGACATTCGGTAATATTTAATATTGCAATACACATCAGTCACCGTAACAGTTACAACATTTATTAAAAAATCGCTCTTTAAAAATTATTTTTTGACTTTTATTTGATTACTCCTTAAATAACCGTTATTTCTGACTTTTATTTCAAAAAAAATAAAAATTATTTTTTATTTTTGTCTAAATAATCTGCAAATAATTTATTTTTGATTTTCAAACTATATGTCTTCAACAGTTATCGAAGACTTTTGTTTTTAATGTAATAAACAAAAATCAATCACTGACCTTTATTATTTAAATCATACTTATAAAAGTCATTTGTATAAGTCGTAGTAAACTTTTGTTTCCTAACACCTTCTTAACTACGAAAAAATGTTAATAACTTTTATACGAATGATTTATTTAAAAAATAAAAGTCGGCGACTTATATAGTATATAGATGACTTTTAAAAGCAGAAGTCGCTGACGTTATATATAAATATTGGATAATAATAGTTATCAATAACTGTTATCAAACAACGTAGAAATTAAACCTTGGGTTATAACTTTTATCGGCGAGATAAAAAATATTTTTCATCTAATAACTGTTATGAAACAACGTTTTCGTTAAATTTCAAAATTCGGGCAAGGTTTTCAATTTATAAATTTGGTCCCTGAAAAAAAAAATCATTCTGCAGAACTTTGTTATATGATAAAAGAAAAGTTCTGATCAAAATTCATCTAAATCAAAAATGTTCGACTCCATCATTAGTCGGTTTGACATGGCCCATACATATTTTTATAATGGGCACAACTTCGGCCTACTTAGAAAATGCCACCCGAAAACTTCCAGATGCATCTTGTAGTTCAATTAAACTAAGATGAAACTATATAGCGTAAGGTTTTAAGAGTTAAAATTCCAGCGGAGAAAATAGTCAATCTTTTACTTGTATTACAGAACTAGTTTAAACTTTTATTTTCTTTTTTCTTGTGAAATAAAAATCTCTAAAACAAATGTCTTTTTTGCCTTTTTCCGATTCTTCTGCCTGTTTCGCTAATTGTTTGCCTTTTTATTGGTTTTAGGCACTAAAAATCCGTTCGCTGTTTATAAGTTATAATCTCGAAGCTTAAGCAGTATACGAAACTTATTGTAATAACTAGATTAATTATTATTATAAGCTGTTAATTATATCTGGTAGCCTTTAAAGTAAATTAAATGAATTAAAAATTTTTCCTTAGATATATACGCATACATATACACGTGCTAGATACAAGTACACCATTTACTAGAATTAGTTAACTAAAAAACTTAAAAGACAAATACAATTCTGTTTTTATGCAATAAATGTTCAAAAGCTCGCATACTTAACTATTGCTAACCATTCACAATATATTTTTTTGCTTTGCTTTACTTCGCTCTCTTTTGCGTGAATTGTGTTCCAAAATAAGTGCTTATAGTACATTCAGTAGTTTACTTGTATGTATATATTTATGTACATATGTATTTTGCCTGCTCGCTATCTATCGTTTTATGGAGAAATGCATTCATGCATACCAGCGAATGCATGTCAAATTATACTTTATACATTTATCACAGCTGCCAATAATTCTTTTCTTGTATTCCATGCTCGATATTTTCTTTTAGCTACTTACACGTAAGTAAAATATTCCAGTGTCA